ATTTAAATCTAGGATTTCTTTGCTCAACTTCTTTTTGGAGGATCTGTCCAGCACTGCCAAAGGAGTGTTGAAATCTCCGACTATGATGGAGCTGGGAGAGATCAAGTTGCTCATGCCAATTAGAGTCTCTTTTATAAATTGAGGTGCATTCTGGTTGGGTGCATAGATATTGACTTCCTCCACTTTTAATCTGGTGCCATCATGACAGTGGCAAACCAGTTGTGCATGAAGAACAGCCAGAAGACGATGACCTGACAAACCACATGCTGAGGTGTCCCTGAGGCTCACTCCAGGTCTGAAGGCTGATCAGACCTTCAGCCAAACTGATCCTTGAATGAATGAGAGAGAACAGTAGCAGGCCTTCCTCACGGGACCCACTCCAGACACATCCAGCCCAACTTCTCCGCAGGTTCCACACTCAGAGCTTCCTCTGAGGGGGGCACTCGTAGCTTGGGCTTGTAAAACCTGTGTTGAGATTTCGCCTTGATTTCCTCCTGAGTGAGTAGTGGAGGGAGTGCTTATGATGCACAGTTGTCGTAAGAGTGAGATGAGGTGGTGTGTGGCAGAATAGAATACGAGTGCGTTAGATGTGAGAGGCTCATCTATCAAAGGGGGGAATATAGTGTGTAGGAGAAGGAAAGGTGTGACGAGTAAGGCATGGAAATAAAACCAAGTACTTTAATAAAGTTAGAGAAGTTGTACAGGCCAGCGAGACCAAACAGAATGAAAAAGAGGAGGAAAGCAAGCTGGCAGAACTTTGGGGGCATTTTACATGCTTTTGATATAGGAGTGAGGCGACCCAGGCGTACAGTGAGAGTTCGACTGGTTCTGGTTAAGTTTCTAGTAAGGATGTACTAATCATCTGTTATTCCCTGGCAGAGGGCACCCTCCTCATGCTAATGACATTATAATGGGAAAAACTAAGTTTGCTAGAAATAAAGACACAGATCATCTGGTTAGTTCTAGCTTGAGGGAAGGTCCACGGATGAGTTGGGGGGAATTTCCATGTAAGAATTATCTCAGAGAAATGTGAGTTTGGGGAGCA